GAAATTTTCATCAAATGACTGACTCAAATGCCAATTCAGTCTTTTAACAAGCCTTGCATTTGCAATATGGTCTAATCAATCACTCTGTTGCTTTTTAAATTGCAACATCATCCTTCAATTATATCTGAAAAACTCGGCTCCATGCATGTCTCATGAGCAATGAGCATTTCATTGCTCACCAAATTATGCTTCTTTGGAAGATGTAGAGTCAGTGATGAATTTGGAGAAGAACGATGCCTCTTAAGCCAATAGTCATCTGCTTTTGCAGAAGTACCTAAACTAATTTCCAAACCAACTTGAATCTTTTGATAGAAGGCATATACAAATTAAAAAAAAAATGATCTCAGAGTACTCAATCACTTGCTAGTTGCTCTGAATTGCTAACAACTATTTCGAAGAAAATGACCTCAAATAGTCTTTTAAAGATATGAATTCATTATTGCATTGATTGCTAACCTATGACTAAAACAAGGAGAATAAACTTGATATTCAGAATTTCAACTGCTTCACATACTTCTTAGAAATATACACTTGGAAACTTGCACGATCCATGGCCTGCTCAACATAAAACCAAGAAAAGAAAAAGTCATACAAATTGCGAAGGAAAAATAGTAATTCTAGTAAGACATAACTATAGTGAGAAAAATTTCTGTGAAGATGGTAATGATTAATTAGCAGTCTAGGGGTAAAAAGGTTTGGGAAGTCTACAATATTTCACCCATTGATGCATAATTCCATTTCTTGCTGGAAGTTTTGACTCTATTATGATCTGATGCTTGTTAAATGATCCCTGAAGAGAAATTACTTACTTGGATCTGTGGTGGTTAGCACTGCAAGACCATTGAAATGACAAGCTGCACCTCTGCCCCTAAACTTAACCCAATATGAGCTAAATGCATAACTAGCATGAGCTCTAATTGTTACTGGTTCATAGCAATCATTTCCTGGAGATAGTGCATCACAAATTCCATTGCCAAGGCTGCAAACAGATTCCAATTGTGGAACTAATTCCATTATGTTTGCTTCGCTTGCCACAACACACCACAGATTTCCTTTAAAGGGCTCATTATTTGATGGCAGTGGCAATGGGGGATAGTCCCCTTCTCCTAGCTTTCCTGTCAGGTCTAAATCATACACAGGCCAGGAATTGGCTGCAGAATTCCAAAGTGCCTTGCTGTTCCTCGTCCTGGAATTTGATCTTCATCAAATAAAGCATATATGAATGTTGGTATGAATACACCAGGTCTAGCCGGTGTCCCAATTGGTGGTTTAGCAGACATTCTGTGCACAAGATTTCTGTTGTAAGTAGCAGCATTGTATCTATTTGCACCAGGCTGATCAATGTCACCTGCATGAGGCCAACCAGTTTCTGATATTGCTAATGCAACATGGTCAAGGCCTAATTTTTGACTAGCAAAGAGAACTGAGTCAAGCATCTGATCTAGGAGGTTTGTGTAAATCAAACCACTCTCTGGATCTCTGTATGAAGAATTTTTGTCGCCTCTAAATAAAGCCAAGTCAAGGCTCACATTTGTTGGATTTGCAGACCATGTAAAATAGGGGAAGACATTTAGGAAAGAAATACGACTTTGTTTGATTCAAGAATTGCAGCAATGGTATGATGACCTGATCATGAGGAATATCAGACCTGAATGTCCCACTAGAAGGTGGAAATGTTGATTCCAATATGTCCATAGCCAATGGAGTCCCAACTTTAATGTTATGAATATTGTGACTTCTAACTGAATCAAGGATCCTTCTCATTGCAGGTACAAGATTGTACCACAATGTTGTATCATTCTGGCTTAGAACTTCCTGTCCAACAAGTATGAACCGGATCATTGTATCAGGATAATATGCAAGTACATTTTCCTGTACCCACTGATTTGCAAATGTTTGATTCGAAGCAATATGCACGAGAAAATTGTTAGCAATGCTGATTGAGACACGAACACTTTTCTGAGATAACGATTTTAGTATTTCGTGATTTGCATCACGAAGCTTTACAAAACCAGCATTCTTGATCTCAAGGAGCTGGACTGTGTAATTTATTGGTGGGAAATTAGTTCCTTGCGTTCCATAAACTACACCAATCCTGCTTGATGTTAGTGCATCTGTTAAAGAAGCATAAGAAAGTTGTTAGTTGAATTGTAGTTGAAAACAAAAATGTGAAAGCATGAACCGGAGTTTTTTCTTCATTCTTTTTTGAAAACCTACTTGAGAATGTGAGGAGGCAGAAGAACAAAGGAACAATAAGAAAATTCTCTGCTATTTTCATCTTCTTCTGTTTTACTCAATGTTGAGACTTATTAGAATACTACTGTTTTGAATGCACAGATAGAAACAGATTATAGAAGAAACTTTTTGAGTAAGAATGGAGATTGTGAGAATTAAGAACATATATAGATGGAGAAAAAATTGTTAGAATATCAAGAAGCTGTTGAACAACCAGCAATTATAAGGGAAGAGGAGAGAAATAATCTTTACAATAGTTTCACAGATAAAGTGAGAGCAATAGCAGTTGAAAATTGCATTCTTGCTGCAAGATAAACTAGAAGTCTAGAATGGAACAAAACCATGACATATGAATTAGGTAAGAGACGCAGGCTGGCATTTGTCCACTTCGTTATCATTTTTATCTTTTTTCAAATTTTATTTTATTACTACAATTTTGGGTTAAAAAGCTCGTATAAATCTTAGTCCTTGTAATCAAGAAATGTCACTCAAAATCTCAAAAGCTTGTCATAGATAAATCTAGTCTATTTTAGCCTTGAATTAATGAGGTTTTCATGGGAGGGGTGATTGGAGCAAGTAGTCTGTGGTAGGTACTAAGCAAAGTTGTATCCTCTTTCTGAATTTTGAACTCTCTACTAAACCCAATGACAAATTTTCTACTCTTAACTAATATTTGATCAACGCTTATAATTTGTTGTTGGATGTCCAAAATTATTTTGTGCATTCATTTTTTGTCAATAGTGGTTTTTTTTTTGTGTACGGAGAAAATAGTCAAATATACATGAGACAGGGGAGGGATGGGTTGGATGGTTTGGGGGAGGCAGTATAAGTGAAATGTCTAAATTTGAGCCCTCCACTTACACTAAAATTTTTTTTTTTAAAAAAAAGGTACATGGAGCAGACTTGACATAGTTTAGGCTTGTGCTGCTTCTGCCATTATCCAGAAACCTTAGCCCTCTTCGCTATCTACATGGGAACTGAAATTGGATTAGGATTACATCCCATTAATCAAATGAATTTATTAATCTCCAAATGAATAAGGTACCCTGACAACACCAAGACAGCATTAACAGTGGAAATGGAGTCTTGATTCTAGTCACTGTTTATTATCTTGATCTGATTTACCAGGATTAGATTTTAATTGTTGCTTTTTTAGTAGGACAAAGTTCTGACGAAAGTTCAAGCATAATTTGTTGCCATAATGAGGGAAGGAATAAAGCGAAAAGGTAAATTAGGAGCAGAAAGCATCCAATTGCTGTTTAATTAATTGATCAACTAAAGAACTATTAAGTTATTGCCACTTTGATTTTCTTCTTTTTCGTCAAGAAGATGCTTTTGATGCTTAAACAAGCAAAGAAACACTTCAAATCTATATTGTCATCCTCTAGTATTTCTACTATCTGTTGAATCATATTTGCTGTGAAAATTAAATTTGTTAAGAAGGAAAATGGCTGACGCTCTTATTGGTGCTACCATTCAGATTATTCTGCAGAAGATGCTCCCCCTCGCCGCAGATGGGATTGGGATGGCTTTTGGACTCAAGGAGGATTTGAAGAACTTGAGAGAATCTGCTGCAATGATCCGAGCGGTCATAGCTGATGCAGAGGAAAAGCAAGGACACGATCAGGCTGTGAAACTGTGGTTGAAGAGGCTTGAAGGAGTGGCTTTTGATGCTGATAATGTGTTGGATGAGCTGAACTATGAATTTATTCGGAAACAACTGCAGGAAAAGGTGTGCTTCTTTTCATTCTTTTGTGATACTGCTTTGCATTGGAGAATGGCTTCTAAGGTTAAGAATGTTAACCAGAAGTTGAAAATTATCAACCAAGAAGCTATTGACTTTGGACTCAGGTCCCAGCTGATGGGAGGTGGTGCAAATATAGCTCCCCTTCCTCTCCCTGCTATAAGTCGGGAGACTGACTCTATAATTCGTCAAATTGTTGTTGGAAGATCCAATGATGCATCAAACCTAGTGGAGACATTGTTGAGCTCTTCTGCAAAAGTTGTTTCTGTTATTCCCATATCTGGCATGGGGGGTTGGGGAAAACAACTTTGGCTCAGTTAGCATACAATGATCCAGGAATTGATGGACATTTTGATACTAAGATTTGGATTTGTGTCTCTGAGAAATTTGAAGTTACTAGGCTTTTTAAACTGGTTTTAGAATCATTGACAAAGAGAAAAGTTAAAACTGAAAGCAGGGATGTTATAGTTCAGGATGTTCGGAAAGAACTTAAATGGAAGAGATATCTTATTGTGCTTGATGACATGTGGGATGAGAGATCTCAACTCTGGGACGACTTTTTTCAATGTTTGGTGGGAATTACCAACACACAAGGAAACTGGATTCTTGTAACAACGCGTAAGCTAAATGTGGCATCAATCGTGGCTACACATCCTACCTATAGATTGGAAATATTATCGGATGATGATTGCTGGTCAATACTGATAGAAAAAGCATTTGGAGGTGGAGAAGTACCAAAAGAATTGGAAGAGGTAAGAACTGAATCACGAAAAGATGTCAAGGTCTACCTCTGGCTGCAAATGTAATTGGAGGTTTGTTACGTATCAAAAGAAAAGAAGAGTGGCTCCCAATCATAGAGAGCGGGCTTTTGCACTTAAGTGAGAATGAAAATACTGTCATGCAACTACTTAAGTTGAGCTTCGATCATTTACCAACTGCATCCATCAAGAAGTGTTTTGCATACTGCTCGATTCTTGACAAAGATTTTCTTGTAAACAAGCAACATCTAATCCAACTCTGGATGGCAGAAGGTTTTCTTCAAGCAAGTCATAATGAGTTATTAGAGGACATAGGCAACAACCATTACCACATCCTGTTAGAGAGTTCATTGTTGCAAGAAGTAAGGATGTATGACCCCTATCTTGATGTGAATGCCAGATATGCCAAAATGCATGACTTCGTGTATGATCTTGCACGATCATTGTCAGGATCTGACAGCATAAGGGGTGAGAACTGCCAATCCAGATATCTAGTATTGCATTCATTTGGAGAAGAAACACAGATGAAGTTGAATGACATATCAACATCAGTTAGTTCATTAATTTTGCTTGAGAGTCACATATCAGGTGACATTTTATCAAACTTTAGGTACTTGCACGTGCTGAAGTTGTCTTGGGTGACTAGTGAGGTGCTGCCAAGCTCAATCGGCAAGCTGATCCATTTACGATTTCTTGACCTTTCATACTCTAGAATAGAAGCTCTGCCTGAGTCCATTTGCAAGCTTTATAATTTGCAAACACTTACATTTGATGAATATCCTGACAAGAGAACTCTTAAGCAGCTTCCAAAAGGGATGAGAAAGTTGGTTAATTTGAGACATCTCCGCTTTTTTGCTTCTGATGGTCAATTCCAAATGCCAAAAGGGATGAGGCAGTTAACCTGCCTTCAAACTCTACAGTTCTTCAATGTAGGAAAAGACAATGGCCGTACACTTGAGGAGCTGGGATGCTTAAAAAACCTCCGAGGCCGCCTTCAGATTCGTAATCTAGAACTGGTAAATGGTAAAGAGGGAGCTCTGCAGGCAGATTTACTGCAAAAGCCAAAAATGCGTCACTTGGGATTTGAATGGTGTAGTGTTAATGCAGAAGGTGGTTATGATGATGAACATGTCTTGGAAGGCCTCCAGCCCCATCCAAATTTGCAAAGTTTACACATTAATAACTACAATGGTGGGAAATTTCCACGTTGGTTAATGAACATGGCAATATACATGAAGACTACAGACGGATCATCAATAACAAGACTCGACAAATTGGTAAAGCTGAGATTAATAAACTGCAAACTATGCACAGAAGTCCCTGCCCTTGGACAGTTGCCATCTCTTCAAGTTCTTGAGTTGAATGGATTAGAGAACTTAAGATGCATTGGAACTTCATTCTATTGCATTGCTGATGATTCCAGTGGATCAAGCAGCAACAGAAGCAGTAGTCAAGGGTCAAGCAAATTGTTTCCAGCTCTTAAAACTCTTGAGTTAGCAAATATGCCAAATCTAGTACAATGGAGGGGAGCAGAAGCTACATCCAGAGGAGGTGGTGATGAAGGGCTAGAAGTGTTCTTTCCTAGCCTTGAAGATTTGATGATTATGATGTGCCCCAAACTGACCACAGCTCCAGGTAATTTTCCAAGCCTGAAGAGATTGAAAATCGAGAGGATGGACCAGCTTTTGCCAGTAAAACAGATTTGCAGCAACGCAACCATTCTCACAGACCTCTGGATCAAAGGAATGCCGGAGCTACTTGCATTCAAGACGTGCTCAACAAACAGGACTTAGCATGGCTAAGATTGGAAGAGTGTCCCTATTTAAATGACATACATGGCTGTGGAACTTCTCTTAGAGAATTAAGGATCATGAACTGCGAGAATCTAAGGGAGTTGCCGGAGAATCTACATCAACTACAGGCTCTACAAACACTTTGTATTATGCAGTGCCCAAATATCAAGTCAATCGCGATTCCTTCTGGGACTTTGGACAGGAAAGTGGACTTCACATACTGCTTTTTTTTTTTTTTTTTTGTCGACAGAGTGGGGTGTCCGGGTCAAGTCCGTAAAGGCGGCCCGACTAATCCCCAGGTCCGATCCAACGCCCCAACCAGACCTAGCACGTTAAATGCACGGTGAACTGATGTTGCTGCGGAGGTTCACTTCACATACTGCTGAGTTTGCAGAAAACTATAAAATAAATGGGCAGAACGAATGGAGATAAGTTTGGAAATTGATTTTCTTGTTCGGCCAATGGGGACATTTTGGTGTCTTATATGATTCACGAGTGATGACAAGTCTGAAAAAATTGTCGTGGATTAGGTGACAGTTCAATTATGTAGTGACAGTTCAATTGTGTAATGACAGGCAACAGCCATCTCCAGCGCATGTCAAAGAAATCAAATAAGGTTCAATTAATGTGGTTGGTTTTGGACAGGCTAAACTACCCTTAACTCCCTTGTACTTTTGCATAATATCATATAACCCCTTTAAAGTTTTAAAATATCTATATAATCCCGTGTAATTTTATATAAAGTGAAAATTTAGCATAAATAGTTTCCCTAACGTCATTAATTGAAATGCTAGTATTTTCCTTATTCAAGTACTAAACTAAATAAGTCTCTCGCATAATATTATAGGGGTTGTATGGATCGATGCAAAGCCTTAATTCGGATTATGTAGATATTAATGTAAAATTATAATGGAGTTGAGTAGATATATTATAAATTCACCACACATAATTTTGGAGTACATCTTGGACCTCTTGATCAATTGCTATAATTGAAAATTCTTTTTTTCCATTTTTTTTTTACTTTACGTAAAACCATAGGAAGATTATGTGGATATTTGAACCTTTAAAGGGATCATATGGTGTTATGCAAAAGTACAATGGATTAAATAGGTAGATTTATGCAAAATTGTAGTGTTTTTTTTTGTCGAAACGATAGGATTGCAAAATTGTAGTGGGGTTAAGTATATTTTTTTAATTTTAGTACATGTACTTTTGGAGCATGTCTTGGTCAACTACAGTAACTGGAGATGTTTTTGTCCATTTTTCATCTCATATAAAATCACAGAAGAATTATGTCGATATTTTGAACATTTAAAGGGATCATATGGTATTATGCAAAAGTACAAGAAGGTTATGAATAATTTATTAGTAGTAACTATTTAGATGAAAAAAATTTTGTCGATCCCAAAAAACTACTAGGCATGTTTAATAATTGGTTCTAAATCAATAAAAGAATTTCACATGAACATACAAGGGTCTCACGTGATTTAATTTAGGATCTCACTTAGCATGTGAATTAGAAAGTGAGGTCTTTATATATCTACGTGGAGCTTTTTTTATTGGTTCTGGACTAAGTACTGGGCATGTCCGATAATTACTCTGGACCAATATAAAACTCCTGTTTAGATTTAGCGGCAAAGAGGCCTCAAGCTCGAATTGATACATTTTCTAATCACATTTTTTTTCTTCAGTACTAACAAAATTGCGGTAGTTTCTTTTGTATAGATGTGGTGGCAACTTTGTTGAGATGTTGCTTAGATGTATGTATTAATGAATGCTACGTGAGTGAAGAAAAAAAGAAGAAGATGTGATTAGAATTTTGGAGAAGTTTGGAAAAGTTCCACCATCTGAATGGAGTTTGATAGAGATAGCCTTGTTTGGATTGCCGGTTTCCGTCGAAAAATTACGTTGTTTTCCGTGATCACATTTCCCTATTACTTTTTTCCCTCACATACATTAAATCGTTACAGTAATTTTTCCATGAAAAATCACGGAAAATGCAATCCAAACACAAACCATTCAAACAAATAGTGCATTAACTTTTTTAACCCCCCTTAGTAGAAACGCAACCAAATTTATTTCCGTATCGAATCAAGTAGGAGGACATATATTTCCACCTGGTGGCTCACATAATTTCCTCTCTTAATAACCAAGAAAGATGATGCAGAAGGGGTTTTGCCTGAAAAAATGTCCTCCGATCCAGTTCCAATTTCAAGAATGTGAGATTTATCCAAAAGAAACAAGGATTTAACGAGTGCCAAATTAATTAAGATGTAGTTCACATGTTAATTATTTAATTTTCTTGGATAAAAAAAAGTTATATCGTGTTGTGTATATAAATGTAAATAGAGCTGAAAACATGAATATATGCATTAAAATAGTATCTTGTGCGTAAATTAGTGTATCAACTTGTTAGAAAATTTCAAGAAGGAAACCGAAAAGAAAGCAAAATGGCCCAGAATGATCTAATGTGACCCATCTAGAAACTGAAAATGGAGATGATGAACAAAAACAACAATTTCTTCAATTCATCAATTGTAAGAATCCTTCTCTATTTTCTCCCTCCCTAATGTTGTATCTGCAGTAATAGAAAGTTCAGCTATCTTTCCATATAGCAAGGAGTTGGTTAGGGATGTGAGACAGAATAATATTTTGTATAATGAACATGAATAGAAACTGTGGTGGAACTGGGAAAGAAAATATATTTGTTGAACAACTATATCTATATCAAACAGTAGCTAATTCCAATTAACTGGCTAAACTAAGGAAGTATGTCCAATTTAAGTGAAATTTTCGGATTGAGTGTCCCCTTAAATATTGGGTGCGTTGCTTATTTTGAGATGGGCTTTTTTATCATGTAAAGCTAATGTAGGTGTATATAAATTATAGCCATCTCTTAATTTTTTTGATTTTTTCATTAATTATAAATGTTGATTAACATCAAACGGCAATGGTAAGAACAAATATGACAGCTTAGTCTGATATTGTATTCAAATTGTTCACTGCATTGCTCATGGTATTACACCTATTGACTGATTTTATTAAATGTGCACGAGAAATTTATGATAAATGATTATGTTTTAAGGTTGGATATATTTGGAGATGGCTTAAATTAGAAAGGCATTGCCTCAACCTAGGGAAAACTATAAAAAAAAAAAAAAAGATATTCTGTTAGAATTGGAAAAGGTAGTTACTACCAATGTTCATTTATCTTTATCCAAACCCTCTACCAAGTGTAACAGATCTTCTGTCTCATTTCTTGTGCCACGCTCAGTCCCACTTTTTATTATATAATTATTTCTTTTTCAAAAATATTATATTTTAGTTTTTTTTTATTTTCATAAAATCCAATAACATTAACTGAATAATACACAAAATTTAACAAACTCAAAAAATCAAAATGCATCAAAAATGAGATTTTTCATGAATTTTCTACTGTATTTTAATTTACTATTATATATTGTTTTTTAATACTATTGTATTTATTTTTGACTTAGTTAATAGTTATTGTATCTTAAAGAAATAAAAAATTAAAATATGATATTTATAAAGAATAAATAGTAATATAATAAAAAATGAACAGAGAGCGGCACAGAAAGTGAAGTAGAAGATTTATTGCGCCTAGCAAGCCCAAAAGATGGAAACGAACACACGGGTCAGCTTACGACCTAAAGCGGCAGAAAGTAAGTATTTAGGCACTATTTCTCTTCTAAGTTGGTTGTTGCAAGCAAACAAGGGAAGCATGTTCGTTTAGGTAAACTCTTCTCGAATAGGTTTTTTTTTTATAAGGAGGTATATGCAATCTTTTCGATGCTAAGCGTAATAAGGGATAATATGTATAACGACCTTAGAGAATCACTTTTCGATAATTTTGCACGAGTTATTAAAAAAATGGTTTGTATAACAGGTGCCCTATTATTAATATATATTTTAAGTGTTATATTTTTGAAAATATAAGATTATTAGGAAAAATAAATAAAGTGCAAGAGAGGGTAGGCAAAGTTAAATAAAAAAAGTACATAAATGTAAGAAAGAATAATACTTATTAATATGTATATATATATATATGGTAGCTTAATTGAACATTAGATGTGTTAGAAAAACTCAAAAATAAATGAGGAAAGCGTCACAAAAGAAAATTGGGAAGGGCTAGTCTAATACGAAAAGTTAGCATGGGAAGATACTCGAATAGTTGAATAGTTGGATGGAAGGGCGGAACTAAGGGGAGCAAGAGAGGGACCACCACTTGAAATTCATGCTTTGTCTCTTTATAAAATTTGGAAATTTTAAAGTTATCTGAATCTTATCTACAGATATTTAGCTATTTGCTTCCTAAGTTCTACAAAGCCATACTTTCTCCTTTTAAAAGTTTGAGAATTTTCAAATTTTATATGTGTGTGTATATATATGTATGTATATGTATGTATATATATGTATGTATATGAATAATAAATACATACATGAATGATACATACATACATATATACATATATATATGTATATATATATATATCTCATATATATATATATATCATTCAAAATATCTCTCTCATATTTCGTCAAATGAATTTTTTCATCTTTACTTTTAAAATGTTAATTTTGCTTTCCTTAGATATTCAAATTAGCAAAATTTGATCCTAACTCAAATTTCCGACCTGCTTTTAGTCTAAAATTACTATGTAACTTACACGTAGTCATTTTTTATACATAAATGGTTAGATCTCACTTTTTTAGTGGCAAAAATGAATATGAATTGGGTCAAATCACAATTAAAAAAAAAGAATATAGTTCAAGTCAGATACTACTTTTTTAGGGACAAAAATGAATATGGTTTAACTGCAATTAGGATCTAACCTTTTCACTTTTAAAAATTGAAAAATGTGTAGGTCATATGATGGATTCACGGTAAAAAATAGTTGAAAATCTAAGTTGGGACTAAATTTTACCGACTTAATTTTATAAGTGACATAAAGTTACAATTTTAAAAGTGAAGAATAAAA